CACATCCTTGGGAAAGATAAGCGTACAGAGAGTTTTCACCTGATCTTGACTCATGTAGGTTGGGTTCCTTTGGAATGTTCCACTATTTTTATGTTATACCACCCTAGCAACCCCCTCACCCCCTCCTCATTCTTTGGTTTGTGGCTTTTTCCCTTAAAAACCCCTTTCAAACTGGCTGTCGGGGTCAATTCAGCTCCTGCCTGGGCATACGAATTGACCGGCAGCTAGCTGTCACGCCCTAATAAACAACCTCGCAATTGCTCCGGTACACGGTGTCTCGAGCAGATTACTGTGTGGTCGCGACTTTCTGAGACTTGAGAGAGGGTCTCCCCTCTGCGGAGGTCTTCACTTAGACCAGTCAGGAACGAACTTCTGGCCACATCATAACCTATGTCTCTCTTAGAGCGTTTTATACTTTTTATTATTATTATTATTTTCTGTTCATATTTCATCACCTTGATTAGACAAGTAGTGAGAATGCCTGTGGGTGTTTGTCCCACGGAAAGAAGAGAGACATTTTGCATTCAGTGCCCTGTGCCAGGCAGGGGCCACACAGGCCAGCTGGATGCAGACCCGGTGCGGTGTGTGATGCTCGCAAGCCCTGTGGATTACGTGTGGCAGCAGAGGTGACTCTGAGCCACTGAGGGAATACACCTTGGTCCCACATCTGCCCTGTGCTTGGTGGTGAGGGCATGATGTATGGCTTGGGCTACATCTTAATCTGTGGGAAGGAACATCTGCACAGGGTGTGTGGGGGGGCACTGCTCTGAGAGGCAGGAATGTCGAAGTGGAGCACTGTGGTCAGAAATGTGTGTGCTGTGTCTGGGGTCCTTCAGATGGGAGGGCTGGGGAGATGCATATGCAAGACTACAGACAGCCCTCTCCAGCTCTGGCTGGGCAAATCATCACATGGCAGTCACCAGCCTCGGATCACAAGCACGTCCCTCCCTGACCGTAACTTAGCCCTTGAAGCAGCTCTGAATGTGCCCATTGACTTAGAGCGCTTTGTAGTAAGAGAACAGGAGAAAGGGATGCACGGATGGCATGCAGGTGACTTTAGCAGAGCATCTGGGGATAGGGCTCACCAAACCGGCATCACCTGGCAAAGAGCTGTCAAAACTCAGTGAGAACCACACCCATGCCACAGTGTGCATGAAGAGAAGGGTTCACTTCAGGACTGCTCAGGTGGGGGCTGACAATATTAGTTAAGAATTCTGTAATATACAAGAAAAAAATCACTTCATTAAGAGAGTCTTTATCACTGTCCTTTCTTTACAGAATCAAACAAAACAAGCTGTTGTATAACTTGGCTGCTTCCCCAAGGAATTCGATGAACCCACTGATCCTCTGCCAGCTTGCAATCCTGAACTCCAGCAGGACAGACAGCAGCAACTCCACAGGACCTGTCTGCCAGTGGTAACCACTGCACAAGTGTTTCCTTTCCTAAAAGATGTTAAGTCTCCCCTAGGAGCTGAGACATTAAGAGCCTCCCCAAGGAGGAGCTGAGTTTGTTTGGCCTTTGCCCTTAAGAGCACGAGCTGGGGATATGATAAGGGACCCCCAGTCTACAGAGGCTTAGGGAAATTCTCAGAGTTCCTGAGGCTGAACCAGCTTGCTCCAGCTTTGTTTAGGTGTGTGAAGCCTGGCCTCCTGCAGTGGTCTTGACTTGGAATTATTCAGGAGAATTCACTTTCCCAGTACTACGTCTTGAAAACAGTGGCTCAGTTTTCATTAGAGACCAGAAAGTGGCAGTTACTGCATGTTCCTGTTAACACACTGCCATGGCTGGCACAGATGGGCACCGTGCAAACAGTATGTTCAAGGCTTGATGGTCTTGCTATGCCAGTGCCAGGAGACCGAGAGTTTCCTTTATTGCTACAGGCCAGTGGCACTCAGTCATTTCATTTCTCTGTGCCTTAAAATGAGCTGCTAAAAAGACAGTGCTGTAAGTGGGGAAGGGCAGGAGGAGGGGCTTGAGGTGAGCATTTTCCGTAGACTGACTGTAGGCATCTCAGAAGGCCCTAATATCTACAGTTGCAATAATTTGCTGTGTTCTCTGTGTCTCTGTCTTCTCTGTCTCTGTGTCTCTGTGTCCCTGACACACACACACACACACACACACACACACACACACACACACAGAATGGTTCTACACAAGTAGAACCAGGGAGATAAACTGCACCGATCCTGCTGTAGGATAAGAAAAGCTGGTGGTTAAGACAGGATGACAGATGGGTAGGAGGAGGAAGGCACGAGTCACCAGCAAAGTCGGAGGCTATGCACACGCTGACCAGGATAATTCAGGACAGCGGCCTTTGAGGTCCGCACAGAGCTTAGCGGGCACAAGGACCCAAACATAAACACTACAGAAAGCAAATACAAACAGTCCTGTAACCATCAGAGACATCAAACCAGCACTCCCTCAATGAACAAAAGCCCCTGGGCTTTTGCTTATTTCTGTCAGACTGTTAAGACACTGACGAGCTCTATCCCGTATGAACTGCTCGCTCCACAGAGCAGAAGGAAAGGTCCTCATTGTATTGTGAGGCTGTTACAACTTCGTCATAGTGTCTGCTCATGTTACAACCAAAATCAGACATGGGAGATTCTTTTTTAAAGCAAGGTCTCATGTAGAAGAAACTGGCCTCACTGATTGGCTGGGGAAGACCTTAAAGTTCTGAATCTCTGCCTTTACTCTTCAGTGCTGAGATTATAGGCATATGCAATGACACTTGGTAATCACCATTTGAGAAAGCTAGTTACAGGCCAGGCAGAGTCACCTGGGATATATGAAACTCTTTAAAAGAAAAAAAGGGCCGGGCGGTGGTGGCGCACGCCTTTAATCCCAGCACTTGGGAGGCTGAGGCAGGCGGATTTCTGAGTTCGAGAGTTCGAGGCTAGCCTGGTCTACAGAGTGAGTTCCAGGACAGCCAGGGCTACTCAGAGAAACCCTGTCTTGAAAAACTAAAAAAAAAAAAAAAAAAAAAAGAAAGAAAGAAAAAAAAAGGACGGAAGGACTGTTTCACTTTACTCTCATTGAGGATGACCTTGGAATCCTGACCTGTGCCCACCTCATATCTCAAGAGCTGGGATTACAGGCATGTGCCATCACACCTGGCAAGAGATACCATCTTTATAATTAATAAGGCTCAATATCATTAAGCAACCAAATGACTCAAACAAAATTCCAAATCAAGATTCTAGGTTAAGCCTGGTGTTTTACAGAGCCACTCAAACAGGACTGCGTACAGATTTGGGATGGCTGAGTGCATCATCGGCCTCTTCTCTTTGGCTCAGGAACCGAAATGGGGCTCTGTCCCCCCACTTGCCCTCTCTCACTAGAGAACTTTTCTGTAGGTGATTTAGGGGCAGAATCTGTGTAATCTTGGCTCAGCATTCCGTGGGCCCTGCCAGGGAGTCAGCTGACAGCTCTCTGCAGCGTGCTAAGGGTCCTCTGTAGGAGAGTAGGCTAGTGTTCAGAGTAAGTTTAATTTTGAGTGATGTCTTTGCAAACCCTTTTTATTACAGATCTAAAGCCACTTTTTCCAAGAGGCTTTATCAGTAATAAAAGTGACATTTTGATTACGCTAGTCTGTCTCCTATATCCTCTCTCTCAAATGGTTCCAAATGTCAAGGGAGAGGAGGGATGCCGTTTATTGCACATCCTCAAGGCACATCTAGACACACAGCAATTACATCTTATAATAATTAAGGAGGCATGAGCCTCTGGAGAGAAGTTAAACTCTGAGACAGAACAGGAAGTGTGGAAACAGACTGTGGGTACTTGGGAGAGGTGGTGCTGTCTGTCAGAGGGAAAGAGCTCCCACAGTAAGTGATACAGGTTCACTTGGTGCTTAGAATGGGTCGACTCTTGGGATGCCTCAGGCAGGGCTGTGGCTGCCTCTTGCCTGCTATCTTAAGTGGCTTAAAGCTTGGCTTAGGTTACCTCCTGAATTACATGCCTTGAGGGCAAGGATGGTACACTGTATGACCCTCCAGAGAGCCTGGCTCAGGGTTACAGGGACACACAACACCTGTAGTCACTTTTGTCAACACAGGTATTGTTACTATTTTGCATTAAATTTTGATTCTTTGTCTGCATTTGGGCACTGAGGTCAATATCGAGCTTTGACAACTATTTTGATATTCTGAGCTAAGACTTGGTTAAAGGGGGTTCTTTGTAAAGGAGGATGTCTGAAACCTGTCATTCTGAGGGTAACAGGGGGCAAAAATAAATGTCAGAGAGCAACCAGAGGTGACATTTTCTCATTATCCTCAGGGCTCATCTTCACGGCACAAGAGAGAATGAAGCCAGTACTAGACTTTACACCTCACATTCATCCTCACAGCGAACTGCTGAGGCTAACCGCTGAGGCAGAGGTTAACACGAAGAAATCAAGTTTCAGAGAGGCCGGACTTCAAGTCCACACATTATACAAGAACATCTGGGCTCAAAAGCCAGAGCATCTTCCAAGAGACTGATGGCTGCCAGCCACCATCTTCTCAGGATCTGACTCCCACTAAACAAGATTTGTTAAATCACCGCCAGGACACAGGCTTCAGGGTCTCTCAATGGCATAAGTCACGTGAGTCACTTTAACGTCGAGGCTGTCTGCATGGGACGGCACATGGTGACCAAGCATGACGCACATTTTAGTAGCAACCCTGGGCCTCAGACTCTAATTCCAGCTGCTGGTCCTGGTACCTGTCCTTTGCCTGTTCTTCCAGGAGTCAGACTGACCTCACCTGCCTCAGCATCACGCTCTAGGACTCCCCATTACTCTTTGCCTCTCTCCGAGAGGGTGCTCTACTGCCTGAGCAGAGCTCTGCCTGAGCAGAGCTCTGCCTGAGCAGAGCTTAAGTTACAAGTTGAGATGGCTGCCTATTTATCTCTTTGGCTATCTCACAGCAGCAGAAAGCCCAGCAAAGTGGGTGTCTGGGAAGCTTTGCAGTGTCTCACCCACATCCCAGCTGTGGGGGTCAGACATACAGATACTCACCACCTGACCATCAGTCCGTGCTCCATGAAGTTTTTCAGGTTAGGAAGAGTCTGCCTCAGGTCTGGAGTCCCCAGGCCATGCTGGTATCTCAGCTGCAACGGAAGGAGATTAAAATTGAAAGATATTTTGGCAGATGCTAGGCAATGCTCAGGAAGATGAACTCCTGAGTGAGCAAACATGAAGTGCACAAATGCCACGTCAACCACAGCAGAGGCATGGCATTCAATGGCCCTTCTTTACCATTACCTCACACCTTGAACTTGGAAACAATGTGGCCAACCTCAGGCCTTGATCTAGCCTTTTCCATTCCCAGACCTTGGTAAGAGTTTCTAACACCATGGACATATCTCATAGAAATATTTTATTTAAGTCAGAAAAAGATGAATTTATTCTTATTGTATGTCTATGACTACACTGCCAGCAGGTATGTAGGTATGCCATATGTGGCCTGGGCCCACAAAGGCCAACAGAGGGTATAGGGGCTTTTGGAGCTGGAGTTTCAGAAGGTTGTGAGCCACCATGTGGGTGCTGGAAACTGAACATGGGTCCTTGGCAAGAGCAGTAAGTACTCTTAACCACAGAACCATCTTCCCACCCCTCTTACTTTTAATTTTGTATATATGTGGTGTGTCTGTGTGTTTGCATAAGATAGTGTCTGACAGGGCTGGGAGAGGTTTTTGGATCTCCTGGAGCCACCAGGCATGGGTGTGGAAAATCATGCCAGGGTCTTTGCAAGAGCATTGCCGCTCCTGAGCACAGAACCATCTTTCTAGCCCCTCAAAGAAAAGCAACTTACATGTATTAGTGTCACAGCTGACAGGGGCTGCACTCTAGGTTTCTGTACAACCTTCATTGTGTTTTGTGTGTGGGCGTGAGGGGTGGGGGGCCTCTTGAGGTTTTTATCGCTAGCAGCACAAAAACAGAAGACAGAAAAAGTGAATTTAAGAGTTAAGTAAAATGTTACTGGAAGATTAATTTACTCCATGAGCATCCAGCACTCAGTTGATTTGCTGTAATACTTAAAATAAAGAATTTACTCTCTTGAACTGAGACTCTAAAGGAGAACTCCAGAACACAAGTGAGTATGTACAATGCTCTGAGTGAATACATACATAAGTAAGAAGGCAGAAACACAGTTAGAACTAGAAGGTGTCTTGGCTATGACTGAAGCCAGTGGTAAATTCCCCAGGCATCCTCGGTACACACAGACCCAGTGAGGGCCTGGTTTTCACAAGCCGTTCCTTCTACTGTATCCACTTTACTGACTGAGGAGAAAATTGGTAACAGCACTTGGGAGGTCAGGGGAAAATATTCTCTTCCCTTCAAACCTAGCTTGGTGACCTAAATCACCTCCTGAGATTTGCTAGCCTTGAATTATAAGATCTACTCCATATTAAATGACATCATTCCTTGTATTAATATAAAAGCATTTTTCCATACATTGATAAAAGCAAAATGGCTGATATCCCAAAATGACATTCCTGAATTCATTGTTTCAGTAAGAAGTGAAATTGTTTACACATGGCATGAAAATTTCACCTGTGATTCACACTGAAAAATATTAAATATTAAAAAAGACCTATGCAGAATAGCACAAAACTGTGTGTCTCTGGGCCAACACATAGTCAAGTGCTTGCTTGAGCTTCACAATGGACAGTGGGTATTGAGTTGTTTTCAGAGACCACAGTGAAAAATTCTCTTAAGTCTGATTTCAGTCAAAGAAATGAAAATGTGAGAACTTCAAGCCTCCACCTAGGCCTTAAGTGTTTGTTACATTGCACTACTACGTGAGAGCTAGCATTTCAGGATCAGACAGCACAGGGAGGCTATGGACTGCCTTTCCAGCCTCTGTAAACGAGGAAAGCAAGGCTCACAAAGGCACATGACGTCTCCTTTGCTAAGACTGGAGCCTCTGGATTACCACTCCGTGTTCTCTCATCACACTGGTCTTGAGTTTTCAGTATGGAGAATAAAGGACAGATGTTTGTACTGTGGGTTGGCCAACTGACCACTTTGCATACACACAGCCTTAGGTTTGGTCTACAGCACTATGGAAACTGGGCACAGAGACAGAGCCCTGTAATCCTGACACTCAGAAGGTTGACGCAGGAGGACCGGAAGTTGAGGGCCATCTTGGGCTATATACAGAGTTTAAGGTCAGCCTGGAATACATGAGCCCTGATCTCAAGAAAGAAAAAAAAAGAGTTCCTATCACATATGTTTCTGTATAAATTTAGCTTATTACTAAGTATTACCAAATAAGTAGTTTAAAGTGCCATAGGTGTCTAATGAAAGAATAACAATGCCTAGTCTCCAGGAGCAACTGCTTCCGGCTGTTTCTTCCCCATTGCCATCTTTCTAAATGTTGCTGCTAACATTTCCCACCAGCCACCTCCCCACTTCAACAGCGTTCACAGTCCAGGCACAGGAGACTCCAACTGTCTTGCACTCCTCTTTTTTTTCTTTCTAAGACAGAGTTTCTCTGTATAGCCCTGGCTAGTCACTCTGTAGGCCAGGCTGGCCTCAAATTCACAGAGATCCTTGCCTCTGCCTCCCAAGTGCTGGGGTTAAAGGCGTGCGCCACCACCTCACTCACCATTCCTTTCGCTCACTCTTATCCACTGTTATTAAATTTGAGAATTCAATCTACTTTCCTATCATTGTCCTCGATGAATTCAATACCATTTTTTTTTTTTTTGAAACAAAGTCTCATGTAGGCCAGGCTGCCTTGAAACTTGCTATGTAACCCAGGCTGGCCTTAAATCCCCCAATTTCTTGCTTCTGCCTCCCATGTGCTTGATTATAGGCATGTGCCACCACACCTGATTTCAGCACCCCATTTTTTCTTAAATCAATATTCAGAGTTGGACTTACTGTGCCTCACAAATGCTGCTCAGTGCTGAGCCATATGGCAGACAATTCCGTTCTCCATATGACTGAATATACCACACCCACCTGCTCAGCCGTTTCTCCCTGAAGAGCTGTATGGGGAGTCAGCTCACTCACTTCGTCTACTCCCTCTCATGTATAAAGTGGGCACGGTTCTTGCCTCTAAGCATACAGTGTGGCCAAAACCAGTATCCAGCCCAGGCAAGTACGCAACACACGGCCTTACTATCATTAATATGCATGCATATTCTTTCTGCCTGATTCCACAGCATTTACCACAAGGCTGGGAAAAACTTGCTCAATAATGGCTTATTACTTAACTAATTAGAAGGGAATCAGCAAAGGAAGGAATGAGCTATCTCAGAGCAAAAGGCAAAAACGTAAGTACAATGCCTAAGTCTTTTAAATGCTAGTTTTGACTGACTGGTGTGGCAGTGATAAAAACATGTATTTTAACAGCTTCAAAATAACAACACAGGGAAATGGACAGACATGTGATGTGGGTGGTCAGGAACTGAGTGACAGACCCAACTTGGCTGTGCAGCCATGTGCAAATCTCTTCCTGGGTTGAGTTAATCGAGTAATTTCGAGCTTTTAAAATCTCATATTCTTTAAGAAGTTACCCTGGCAAGGTACTGTCAAAAACAGAGATAAAGGAAAGAGAAAGGAAAAAGAAAAAAACCAGAAAAGAAAGGCAGAGACAGGACTGGGCTCACTAAGTTCCAGAGTTTACTTGGCCACACACTCATCCAGGACACCTTCTGGGGGTGCCCAGTAGGTAAGTATTCCTTGGAACCACATCTGAACAGAACCTCTCTTAACATGCAATCCCTGTGGCAGCAAAAGGACCAACAGCACCTGCCTTCTGGACTGTTGTGGAGACCCATGAGCGTCATGGCTATTCTTGGTTGTCAACTTGACTACATCTGGTATTTACTAAAATCGAAGCTGCTGTGTCCACCCGTGAGGGATTTTTCTTGACTGGCTCATTCAAGGTGTGAAGATCCACCTCAAATCTGGGCCACACCTTCTGGTAGCATAAAGGACATGGAAGAAGGAAGCTCTTGCTCTGTGTCTGCTTGTCCTTGTTCATTCCTTCTCTGGCATTACAGCCTATTTCTCCTGGATTCTGACAATACTGAAGACCAGCTGAGACACCCAGCTGTGATGATTTACCAAGTAAGACAGGTTGACCTCGATGTTGGAGCTCCCAAGGGCTTGGAAAGATCTGGTTTACATAGGGTGGTGAGTGCAGCTACAGGGATAGGTGCCACCCTCTGCGACTCCAGGGATGGGATTTGAAGATAAGCATGAGTGTACTTCTGAGAGCTTTGCTCAGTGAGTGTCCCCTACTGAGCAGAGGATTCTGTTCTCATGTCCAACAGTCAATCTGAGTTTTGATTTTTAAACACAATTTTTCTAGGTCAAGAAAGACTCTGGGGTTTAGGAATCATTTTGTCATTTAGGTTTTGGTGGAGGAGAAATTCACTTTAGACGACATGTGTCAATGTGCGTGCACGCACACAGACAGACAGACAGACAGACAGACACACACACACACACACACACACAGAGCCACTTATTGCGTGGCTTATTAGCTTCATATGGAGCCTGAGCTGAGCTGCATGAGATGGCTGATACAAACCGTCTGTGACCGTGAGGGAATGTGGATTAATATGTGGCTTCAATAAAGGTTACTAAAAGATCAACACTTCGTGATGGGATTACAATGAATCTGACTACAAAGAGAACTGGCATGCAGGAACTGAAAGCAAGAAATTAAAGATGTACATATGCATCAAAGATGTAACTTCAGATGGCTTATGTAGTTAAACATCTCTGTAGGATTGGTTCCTAATATTTCACTTGAAAAGAACTAGATTAAGACCTTTAAAAAGGGCACTGCCATGTCCAAGCCTGCCTTTTTAGAAGAAACTACAACTCATTCACAGACATGGATGGGCTACTGTGAAAGTCTAGCATGAGGAGGCACACTGTTCTCAGAGTCTTGGAACATACATTTCCAGGGAAAAGCATAAAACCTTGATTATGAGCCTCCTGGATGCAAGGATGACCTAAATACTTTCCCAAGCCCATCTATAAACACATGCCAGGCTTTTCCACGATGGATGGGCTGTAATGTAAACACTTTACATAGCCAGGCCTGCCGCCCCGAGCTCTGAAGCCTCATCAGCATCCAGTC